CGTTCAAATTTACGCTTACTCTAGGTGGGGGACAGAACCAGAATGAAGGAGCCACCATCCCTGATGTCAGTGGGTATGGGAAGCCCACATTTCAGGCACTAGTGAGAAGCTACCCAGCAAATGGGTGGCAATGGGCATGGTGGAAATGCACAGGGAGTGGTAGAGGGCGGGGGAGGGGGGGGGGCGGTCCGGGCCAGACAAAGTGGGCAGCTCTGTGGCTCAGCAGCCCTCACCCTGCTCCCTGGGACCAGAGCCACCCTCCACACCCACAAACTCACATTCTCCAGCTGTTTGAAGCCACTTTCTAGCTGCTGTTGGGCCCGACGGCCTTCTTGGAAGTGCTGTGGAAAGAGGAGCGATAGGCTCAACCAGGTTGCAGCAGGGGCCCTCGGGAACACCCAGGGCAGGGACCACTCACCATCTTTCTCTCCTGTTTCATCTCTTGTGAGTATTTGGTCAACTCGAGACACACACGGACGCTGAGGTTCTCTGCCACCAGCTCCCGCTGGCCTGCAAAGTCATTTACCTCCTGGAGAATCTGTAGAAAGGACTGCTGCTGGCTGAATCTGGGGAGGGGTGGGAGAGGGCAGGGAGCCAGGGGTCAGGCCCGCAGGAGCCAGATGCCCCAAGACCCACCTCCACATGAGAAAGGGTAAGCCCCAAGACATTTACCCCGGAAGCAATGACAAATTCTGGCCCATATCCCTTATCCCTAACCTTTGAGTGGGATGCGCTTCAGAACTCAGAATTTTTCAGGTTCTAGAAAGGAGATACAGTGCTTATACTATCCTTTGTGCATCACCCCAGTGGGGTAAGAGGCAATATCCTGTAACCCAACACTACTCACACTAAGTGGGATAAAAAGCAAGCCCATAATTAACATGATTAACATCAAGTCAGGTCAGGTCACAGGCTGCCTCCAAATAAGTTACCAGAAAAACTTTTGATTTCTAGGACTTCTTGGATTCTGGAACAGGAGACCCGGAATAAAGTGTAATGCTCCTACTTACTATGGGCTGGGCACTGTTTTAACACATTATCTCAAGTTAATCTTCACATGAGCGCTCCAAGTTTATAGTGATTATGCCCATTTCACAGATGAAGAAAACAGAAGCATAAACTTAAATCACTTGCCCAGTCACTCCTTTAGTGTCTGCTGGAGCCTCCCCTATTTAATAGGTGAGGGGGAAAATGGAGGCGGAGAATTTGAGTCAACTGCCCAAAGCAGTTCAGCTAGAAAGTAGTGGATTTAAGATTTCAACCCTGGTACTCTGGAGCCTGCACCTATGCTCTTACCTCTAGGTGGGAATTGAAGTGAGAGGAGAGGGACCTGATTGAATGACCCAGCTGAGGGAGAGGAAGTGGAACCAATGCCCCTTGCCCCCTCAAATCTAACCCTGCACCCCCTCTCTATCCTTACTTGGATTCAGGGTCATCTTTGGCAGGTCTCTTGGGCAGATATTTTTTCACCAGGCTCCTAAGAGAAGAGAGTCAGAAAAGCTGAGGCCCCAGCCCCCCAGCCGTAGCCCTTAGCCCCAGGCCTCGTCCAGCCTAGGGTTCTCACCGCAGCTGCTTCGCATAAGCCTGCTCCACCTCGGTTCGCTCTTTCACGAACTTCACGTATCTGTCTAACAGGTCCAGTCCCCACTGCGTGTGCCGCTCAATTACGTCAAACTGATCCTGGCAGGGGGTGGGGGAACTCGGGTCAAGACCTTGGGACCCCACAGCCCACAGACCAGACATCCAGGGTGCCTCAAGGCTCTAAGCTCCGAGGAGTGACTTCCCGGCCCCGCCCTGGCGCGGCGCGGGGAAAGGCAGGAAACAGGCGGGAACCCCCTCCCCTTCCCGGGAAGGGCCAGAGAACAGGGGCGGGGCCCCAGCCGGACGACAGGGTCCCTCTCTCCGGACGGCCAAGAGGGGTGTGGAACGGGGCAGGGCCACTCGCCTTGCTCCGACTCCCCTAATCCCCCCCAGATTCCGGAAAATCCGGCCGGCCCGGCGTGAGTCAGGGCTACAGGGGCAGGGTTCCCTGTAGCTTGGGGGGGGCCCAGAATGGCCAGGGGACAGGCACAAAGTTCCTCAGGTCTTCATGCTTCCCCGGGTACCCCGATGGGTACCTCAGTTTCCCCCACTGACTCCGCTGCACCGCCAAAAGAAATCCCAAAGCTGAGGAGGGGGACGATCTAGTTACCCTGCTGCACCGGGGAACCCAGAGGTGCCACCGCCCCCAGAAAGAGGAGGGGTCGGAGGTCCCCGCAAGGATAGGGGGAAATTCCTGGGGCTTCCAGAGCTGAGTTTAGAGGCTGCCCCTCCCAGTACCTGGAAAGAGCTGGGGGAGGAGGCTCAGCCTCGCAGCCCCCTCCCCCACTAAAGCGTCCCAAGCCCCTGGATGTTGATTGGAGGCGACGGAAAGGGCGGTCAGGACTTCTAGGTCTCACGTGGGGTTTAAAGTGGCCAGAGGGCCCCCTCCCCCCCACCAGACGGACAGGCGGGCGGCGGGCAGGGACCCAGGGGCCGTAAGATAAGCCGCCCGCCCAGCCGGGGTGCTCAAAATAGGTGACCTCGCCCGGCCGCCCCGGCCTGGTCCCAGGACTTCTTCTGTCCTCTTCACTCTAAACCCCGTGCCTCAGTTTCCCTACGCCGCCCTTACAAGGTCGCCTTTCGCACCCGGGCGTCCTGAGTCGCCCGGGGAAACTCCGAGAGAGGGCGGAGCGGGGACCCCAGGGGTCAGTGGAAAAGAAAGCGTGGAGCCCTGGTTAAGGTACTGCAGGGGCAAAGGGGGGTGTCTGGTCCACAGTAAGAAAGGAACTTGAAGCCAGGTCGATGGACTCACCCACAGCTCGGTGCCCCAATCCATCCTGTTCCCGCCGAGGCCGCCGCCGCCGCGCCCGGTCCGGGTCGCCCAGCCACCCGCCACCCGCAACCCGCCGCGGGGAGACTCAGCCTAAGGCGGTGCGCCCGGCCCCGCTCCGCCCAGGTCCCGCCCACTCCCGACTCGGTCACGCCCCTTCAGGCTCGGTCACGCCCCCCGCTCGCGAAGAGCCAGGGCAGCTCCCTGAAGGCGGGGCCCTGAGGAGGCGGGCCAACTGTTGCCACGCCCCCTCTCTAACGGCATGTTGCCATCCGACGGCACTGGACAGACAGACCCCTTAAAGGACCCCGACTCATTTTCCAAAACCTTTGGGCTCCTATTATCCTCCCCACCCCTGCCCCGCCCCGGACTGTTCTTCCTTTCTTCTTTCCCTTCAACCATTCCTTAACGGGTCAGAACACTAAAACCCCACCCAAGAGGTCCTCCCCCCACCCCTTCGCTGGGAGAACCTGAGGTCACCCAGCTATTGCAGGCCAGCCCGGCTCCAGACATTTACGCTCGTCCTACTAATGGTCTGGTCCCTCCGGCCACAGAGCGGATAGGAGGACTTCGATCCTGCCCAGGACGCACCTCCGCCAAGGCCGGGTCCATTAGCACCCCCACCGCATCCTGTCTCCTCCCCCAAAGTCTGCACCGGGAAACTGAGGACGGGCTGTCCTTGGGGCGCCGGGCCCAGACCTTTCCCTGGCTCTCATCCTTTTCGCTTTTGCACCTGCCCATTTTCCAGTCGCATCCATCAAGGCCCTGTCAGGTTTAATGGTCTGTACTGACCCTTGGATTCTGACTCCGCCCCTTCCTCCAAACACTCCTGGGGGTTAGAACTATTTTCAGCTCCCTCATAAAAGTCTGTTCACATCTTGTTAATCCTTTTGAGGCAATGGGATAAAAGGGGAGAGATCCCAGCAGCTCCCATCCTCATCCTCTCCCACCTTTGGTGCTTTCTCTGTGGCTACAGAGGTAGCCTGCTGGGACTGGGGATCTGGCCCAGCCATGGGGAAAAGTTAGGCTCTGAGCTCTGAAACTCACATCACACATCAGGGAGCCCACACTGGGACAAATGGCTGTTTGGGGAACCTGGCCCCACCAGCTGGTTGTTTCTGAACTAGAAAACCTCAAGTTGTAGAGTGGGCTGTGCTCCAGCGTCTGGGGGACAAGATGAGTCAGGGGCTCAGGGCTGGGGTCTGGACTCAGTAACTCAGCCTGGCTCTCAACTCTAGTCTCACCTCAGATTGGAATTGGGACTCCTACCAGGTTTGGACTGAAGTTGGGATGGGATCTCAGCTGGGTCAGAGGCTGAGCAGAAGGGTCAGCAACCCAGTTGGGGGCCTAGGACTCAAACTAGCATCCAGGCAGGGGTCAGGCCTCCTCTGGGTTCAGGGCTCAGTCCAGGTGAGACCGCCAACCAGAGATGAAGGCTCAGTGTAGGGCAAGGGTCAGTGGGGGACTTTCAGCTTCACACTGAGGTCGGGGATCCATTGCAGGGAGAGTTCAGCCCATAGTCAAATCCAGACTGGAATCTGCTGGTGGGCCTCCAGTTGCCTCACTCTGGGATAGGAGGCTTTGCCTAACTAAGGCCGGGACTCAGCCTGGGGTCATAGGGCATCCCAGGGTCAAGATTTAGCCTGGGTCAGGTTTAGGCCTCTGGGTTGATCAAGAACATTAGAACAAGACAGGCCTCAGCAGATGCGTGTGTTTACCAAAAGCCTGAGTTCTGGCCCGGAGCAACATCCCCAGGGTAAGAAAGGGGAAGTCCGTCCTTCGGGATCCTGGGAAATGTAGTTTACTTAATGGCTTGCTTGGGATGTCTGCATCTCTGCATTCTGGGTACTGTAGTCCTTGGACTGATTAAGAGGGGTTGGAGAAATTCCGCTTTTAGGTCTGGATATCAGATCTATTACAATTGGGTAGATGGGTTGTTTATCAAATTACATCCGGGACAACCTTTCTAGTGATTGGTGAAAGGAAAGGCGGGGTGAAGCGATATCGGCACTCCCATTCGGGGCCGGTGCTATCCATTTGGTGACGTATAGTAACGGGCTTGCGAGAAGGCAATCGTTGATTGGTTGGATGGGCTGGAAAAGCCGAAAGGTCGGCCCCCACGGTGCGGCGATTGGCTCTCCGGTAGGCGGGCCTGGGGCCGTCAGAGGCGGTGTCAGGGGAGGCGGTGGCTCCAGAGATGGCAGTGAGCGAGAGGAGGGGGTTCGCCCGCGGGAGCCCCGCAGAGTTGGGGCAGCAGCTACTTCTGCTGTTGCTGTTGGGCCGCTGCTCTGGGCGCATCCACCGGCTGGCGCTGACGGTGAGTTTCACCGCGCGGCGGTCTGGTGCGGAGGGCCCAGGTTTGTCTCGGAGAAGCCTCTGGCTTGGAGTGGTCTCGTCCTACTTCCCCTTCTGCTTCCGCGGGATGGAGCGGTCCGGCGCCCCCCATTCCAGGCCCAGAGTAGTCTCGTCCGACGAGCCCCCTCTGTCCTCCAGATGGAGTTGTCTGGCGGGCCACGCTAGCTAGGGTCGCGCCCCGCTTATCCGGGGCGGGGCTTCTCTTCGTGGACCACTCCCTCCGACCCTTAACCCTCTAAATTCTCGGGATCGCATTGGGCGCCGCCCAGGAGAGTCCACAGGGGTTGTAGAATGGGGTCTTCTGGGCACTCATTGGGACCTTGGGGCCTCAGTTTGGGATCTAAAAGTTGTGCGGGAGGTGAGGGCCAGACACCAAGATGAGTAACTCAGTTCTCAGGGTGGTACTTACTCCGTGGGGGACTTTCAGATGCCCCAGGCGTTCTCTTTCTGGACTCGCAGAACAGTGGCCGGAGGACCCAGAGACACCCTGTTCCTGCCTGGGATTGGTCTGGAGACACAGCCTCTCCTATCACCATTTTGGAGCTGTTCTAAATAAAGGGGTGCAGGAGGGGACTGAGGCTCTTGGCGGAGCCTGGTGCCAGAACCCCTAGAGCTGTGCTGGTGGGAAGAAGTCTGAACTTCCTCTGCCTCCTTGGTCTCCGGCAGGGGGAGAAGCGACCAGACATCCAGCTGAACAGCTTTGGCTTCTACACCAATGGCTCCCTGGAGGTGGACCTGAGCCTCCTGCGGCTGGGTCTTCAGGAGACAAAAGAGAATACCCCACTGGTGAGAGGCTGTGAGGGGTTTGCTGGAGGAAGACGAGGTGCACAAGTGTCCGAGCCCCCCTGCATTCCACCCTCCTTCAGTTCTGAATTCACATCCTAGTTCTTGCTCACTCGTGTGATCTTGGGCAAATCCCTTGACCTTTCTGAGGCTCAGTTTCCTCATCTGGAACGTGGGAATAATAATATCTCATGCAATATGCGCTACGCACTGAGCTGGCATGGGGGAGAGGGCATAGCAATGAACAAGACAGCCCCAGTTCCCACAGTCAAAATGAGTAGCTAGCATTTATTGAATGTCCCTTGGGTACGAAGTACCATGCAAAGCAATTTCCATGAGTTTTTTTCCCTCGTAGCCACCTCTCAGGGATGCTGCGAAGATGTTACACCTGTAAAGCCAACTATATAGGTGTTTACACAGGCCCGGAGGGTGTGTGGCTTGCTCAGAGTTACAGTGCCTGGATGCAAATCCAAGTGTGCTGGATTCCAAAGCACAAGACTGGAAACCGTCAACATTTTATTTGATTTTATTGTTGTTATTATTTTTTACATCAACATTTTAATTGGGGAAAATAGGATGGGTTAGGTCCAGAGGACCAGCCAAGGTCTCCTTGAGGAAGTGACATCCAAGTTGAGTGACACAGGTTCATTAGGAGTTAAAGGAAAATGATTGGGGGGTGTGGGCAGGATGGCTTGTTGAGTAAATGTGAGATCTAGCACATAGTAGGTGTTCAGTAAATTTGAAATTTGAGGTTATATTCTATTGCTACTGAAAGAGGTGGCTGGACCGGGTGGGTCTCTGCTGGAGTTCCTCACATCCTCCCCTTTTCTTTCTGCTTGTCAGGTGGGGTTCAGCCTAACCCGGGATCGATCTGGCAGCGTTCGATCCTCCTCAGTGAGTGGAGGGTGTGGTGGTGAGGGAGTGAGGAGTGGCTAGGATGGTGGGGTGGGGGACTGTCTTCTGCATCTGGAACCCA